ATACTGACCGGGAATTAGGTATAACAGATTCTGACCAATGCCAGCATTCACCCATTAAATAATTTTCACTGCTATTATATGGTAGCTGATAACACAAGTTTGCTAAGCTGTAGCGTATAGAAGCTCTCACCATGGTAACCCAGGAGAAAGTTGACAATGGCAAGAACAAATCATTCCAGGAGCCTCATCTTTTACTAGAAATACTACAGCACCAATAGAGCCTATCAAGAAGTACAAAGTGAACAGATTACTGGACCTAAAGTTCAGATTTCTGTGCCTCTGAGGAGTGGAATGAAGGATTTAGCACTGCAATATTAAAACCATCACAACACTGGCACAGCACCTGAAGCAATCCACAACCAGGCAGTTACATAGATCTGAAGCCTTGTGGTACAGTTGTGACTGGGCCAGGAACTGCCCTGCTAAGAGACAGTTCTTTAGTTTTTCCTTATGCAAAATGCTTTCATCTTCTTTGACAGGCTACCTGAAAGACTTGTGGATTTGGTTTTTTTTTAATCTCAACATTCTCTATTCTACTCTTGTTTCACTAAGTATCAGAACTTATCACAATGCAGTTCCCATAACTAAAGTAGACAGCAGTAAACTCCATAGAAAGAACCCTCTAGGGTCGGTTGGTAGACCAAGCGCAAATAAGATTGCTAGCTCAATTGCAGAAAAGACAAATAATAATCAGGAGATATAAATCTGTGTACATACAGGCTAGAGAATCTGGGGATCTCCAGAGGCTGCCAGATTCAACTATTGCCAATCCTAAAAAGTGTACCCAAATGGGAGGCTAATGAGAGCTGTGGTTCAGCAAGATCCGCAGGATGGTATGTCTCCTGAATCCCAATTTTCACTAAATATGAAGAAATACATACTAGTTTTCGCGAAGGCTTTCACGACCAGAATCTAATGGTTGTTGTGGGTTTTTCGGGCTCTTTGGCCGTGTTCTGAAGGTTGCTCTTCCTAATGTTTCGCCAGTCTCTGTCCTCTGAAGATGCCAGCCACAGAGACTGGTGAAACATTAGGAAGAACAACCTTCAGAACACGGCCAAAGAGTCCAAAAAACCCACAACAACCAAATACAGTACATACTAGCTCTGCCTCACTCCACACACTGGGGGTGACTTTCTGAAGAGGAGAGACTCTTGTACTACATGGTTTCTGGAACTCTATAAAATTAGAGAGAAATGGCAACAGCAATGCAGATACAGGGGAGGTCTATTGTTTTATTTCTCCTCACACTTTTAGTAGAGAGATATGTAAAGGTTGTTTTGGAATAAGCTATTTCTTGCATAGGACTTGCTTTGCTCTTCTTACAATCCAGATTGACAATTAGGAAGCATACTGTTTTAGGGCCTTTGTTCTTTGTTCCTGGACCACCTTCTCATAAAGGGATTTTAAATTTGTATACATCTATGTACATATTTGCATTATGTATTAATTAATTTATTGTTGACAGGCCTGAAATGCTTGAAGTGCATTTATAGTTGTTTTACCAGAAATAGCTTCAACAGATGACACTATATTGCTAACACTATAATGATATAGGAAACTAAGGTAGAGAACACTCAGTACCACTACACTTCAAGACTTGAGAGCAACCAACTAGCACCTCTATTTTTCTGGACTCTCGGAAAACAGCCTACATATTCCCCTTTACCATTTAAAGGGTTAGCCTAAGATTTAATTTACCAATCCCATTAAATCATATGCCAAAAAGTGACCTACAGTATACCTTTGGTAACAAAAAAACCCAAAACAAAACAATAATGGACAAGATAATTTAGGTAGCAGTGAACCTCCTCTCTGTTCAGCAACAGTCATACTTTAAAAAAACCTGCATAACCTATTTTCACAGTGTCCATGACATATTTCTATTAAATACATAGCAACAGCAGATTTGCACACTGGTATTTCATTAGATGTTGTCCTTCTCCCAATGTGCATCAGCCCTAACATCACAACAAAGTACCTTAATAAGCTTCCACCTTAATCTTTCACAGGGCCAAAATAGATAGCACTTGCCAAAGAACAGCACTCAAAGGCAAAAGTACCCTTCAAAATGTGGCAGCTTCCAGTAACTGAAATTATCTTACAAACAATGCAAGTCAAACAGCTTAACAGACACATCTAAAGGCACTGAGCCAGCACAATACAAAGTTATGTAGCTACCTCCTTGAATCCATTTACAGCTTAGGAGACATTTGTTTTGAAGAGTTCCAAGAAAATTCACTGCTGTCCTTTGGAACAAGTATCTAATTACTTTTATCTACTTCCTCTCTAACTTTATACTACATTACTTCTAAAAATACCGTCTAATTCCTTTTACTAACATAAAAAATCAAAATCAGGTAGCAATCTCTTATTTCTTTAAACATATGGTACATTCTGAATCATCACCCACACCAGTACTTCATTTCAAAAAGGAGAACTATCACTGCTTAAGCCTGCCTAAGAGTGTACAGTAGCCACACTGTGCTACAATTTGATTCATAGCCTGTATTACAGTTGAAACTGCAGTCAAGTGCTCACACAGGGGCTGTGAATTGACTGAGTTCACCCTTTATACTGGATGCAATTCACATTTCAGCCCATAGTATCTCCTTCTTTCCTTTCTTCCTCTGGTCCCATCCCTGCTATATTTAAAATATTTTACCCCACCTTTCTCTGAAAAGGGACCCAAGGTGGCTTACACTATTAAAAACCAATAAAATTTTAATATTCAGTTCTTTTTAAATATTTGAATAAAGAACTGAACAAACATTATATTTACAATGCTAGGTAAAAGCAATACTAAAGCAGATTTTAAAGAAATAAAAACACAAACCATCCCATTTATTGTCTTCTAGACAGTCAGTCACTAAGGAAAAGCCTTTCTGAAGAAAAAGGTCTTCCTCTGCTTGCAGAAGGACAGCAAAGATGGGGCCAACCCAGCCTCTGGTGGGAGGGAGTTCCAGAGCATGGGAGCCAAGTTAGAGAAAGTCCTCTCTTGTGTCCCCACCAAACACACCTGTGAGAGTGATGGAACTGAGAGAAAGGTCTCTCCTCATGACCTTAACACCCAGGTGGGCTCATTTATGGGACGTAAATATGAAAAATAATATTAACGAGGACCCAGAGATAAAGTGATCTAGTGCTAATCTCATATATAAAAGATTTTTTTTTTACATTACAGCACTGAAGAATGATTGGGAGAGAGTAAAGAATGTGAGGGCGTGAATATCATGCCCCAACTGCCTACACTAGGGCACCAATACACACACACACACACACCCATCTTTACAAGAACATATCACATTTAACCACTTGAGGAAAAGCTCATTCAAATTGTTCCAGCTTGAAAAACTGATCCTCCACATGCAGAGGGAAAAAAGCTGCTTTGGGAGCAAAAAGGGCTAGAGACTGTTTTTAATCAGCCTTTGCATCATGTGGTCAGGAAAAAATACTTCAAATTCACCCATTTCATGAGCAAAGCTAATCCCACAATGTTTGACCATGCAGTCACAGCCTAACTTGCACCCAAGTCACTATGTTGCAAAAACTATTCACAGATCTAAAAACATGGAGTTGTATTGACAGTCCCACGAAGGATATGTACATCCTGTAAGCCTCTCTTACCCAACTTACAGTTAAAACATGATTAACAGTCCTCATCCACACCTAAGCCCACTCACATTATCAGAGGTCTTGTTGAAAAATGTTAACTTATAAGCCACTGGTTCTTAACCTTGGGTTACTCAGGAGTTTTGGACTGCAACTCCCAGAAGCCTTCACCACCAGCTGTCCTGACTGGGATTTCTGGGAGTTGAAGTTCAAAAGCATCCGAGTAACAAAGGTTAAGAACCACTGTTATAAGCCACCAAGGTCCTCAAGGCCAAACACTTACAAAACAATGTAAGAGAAGCAGTTGCTGTCTGTGCACTAGAAGTTCTTCAGAAACCATTAAGCCAGGGTGGGGTGTGGGTCACAGAGCCATGTGCGCCAGCATTTCTTACCTGAAGAACCATGTCGGACAGCACTGCACATTAAAGCAGCAACACTCTGATGATACCCATGTACTGGCAAGTCAATTCTGGTTAAGGCAATCCCTTTCCAGGGTTTTCCGGGAAAAGAATACTCAGAAGGGGTTGACTATTTCTTTTTTTTTCTGGGGGTCATCTTGGGACTGGCCCAAGGCCACCGAGGCTGGCTGTTCTCCCTGGAGGCAGAGTGAGGGGAACTGAACTCCCCACTTCTCGCTCTGCAGCCAGACACCTAAACCACTAGGTTATCCAGCCAGCAATAGCAAAGACTTAAAAAAAAAGGCATAGCAACCTAAGCAAAGCATCATATACCATAACTAGACCTGTGAGTGAAGGGGAAGCTGCCCAGTAAAAAAGAACAAAAAATAAAGAGGATGAAGACAGGTCTATGTAGGATTGCTAGGAAGATTTTTTTTCCTCTGTCGTCCTCCCGCCAGGCATCCCACAGCCCCGAATTTTAGCAGGAACAGCAACAAACACAGGGAAAGTGTGTGCTTGGGGAGAATTGGGCAGGACGGTGCCCCAGCCGCAGCAACGTTAAGCAACGGCAAGAGAGGCGTTACTCTCGGGATAGGAAGCGGAGAGTCTCCTGAGAGGATGTGAACGAAAGCAGGTGAGCCAGAAAGGGTTCCGCAAATTCCCGGCAAAAGGCTCTGGACGTGGGTGTCCCGAATTAGCCTGGATAACGGCCCGCACGAGAGCTGAGCCCGTCCAGCGCCAGCCCATGACAATGGCACGTCTCCGCTGCAGGGGGGAAAAAAATTCAAGCCGCGGCCGCAAGAGACAGGAGGAGGAGGCGGAGGTAAGCGATGCCGCCCCCGCCAAACCCAGGGCGGAACAGAACAGGAAAGAGAGAAAGCCCGGGAGAAGGACACACCGCGCGGAAACCACGCGCGCAAAACCGTCCGTCCCCTCGCTTCGCCTTCCCGCCCCGGAATCAAACCCATCTTGCCCCAACAAACAGCCTCTCACCTCGCGTCGCCGCTACCGGTCCTGCTGCTGGTGCCACCGGTGACGAACGCCGCCCGCCACCGCCCAGATCCACCCCGCCCGTGCACGAACCCCCGCACTTCCGTAATGCTCACCCGACGTCACTTCCCTCCATAAGAGAGCAGGGGTGGGTAGGTGGGTCGGTTTTTTTAAAAAAACTCCCCCCTCCCCCCCGTGTTACTCCTCACTTCCGGCAAAAAGGACGACGTATTGGCTTTCAAAGCGGAGGCGGGGAAAAGGAACCGAATGGGCGCCGAGAAACCATAGAGATGTCACCCTCCGTCCAGACATTCTGTGTAGTCAACCTCAGGAGGGAGGAGCGAGAGGGGAAGAAAGAGCCTCTCGTCGCCCGGCCGCCATCTTGGGGTGGGAAAAATGAACTTTGGGTTGCTGAGGCGTTGGGCGGGTCGCCTCCTCTTCCCCCCCCCATTGTGAGAGTCTGGGGAAGGGAGGACGAAGTCGGTGTTCTCGGCTCCTTATCGACTCGACTGAAAAGTGGAGTCTGATGAAGCTAGATGGCAAACATCACATTACGCGAAGTTTTCCTGAAAGCAAATGTGGAAACCTCCCCTAGTTTCTTCCTCTTTACTGAGAGTAACAATAAGTAATGTTCAGTTTGTTCGTTTGGACCAGATTAAAGCAAATTGTTTGCCATTTCCCTCCTTCAGCTGAGTCAGAGCTTATTTAGATACAGTACTTGTTAGGATAGTCAGTTCATTTCACTTTGTGCTCTAATGTAATACAGAATTTAGCTTCAAGCAACTGACATATTTAAAGATATGCTTTATTCAGCAATATTTCTGAATATTGCAATAAAAGGGAGAGGCACTATATATAATTTAGGGGCAGACAAGATTTGAGCAGTAACTTGTATATTTTCCATTCGCGGTGGGTTAGAAGAGTTGAAGACGCCAGGTTTCCTGTGCATACCCCAGGACTAGTCTAGTTTGTGACTGTGGGGTTACTAATATACTTTTCCTGATCAATCAGGTCAAAGAATTTGGTACCAGACAATATCCATGCACTGTAAATTGTAATGTAATGAAGCAGTTTGTCCAAAAGACATCACAGTTATTACCAGTTAACAATCTTAGGAACCTTTTAGATCAGGAAATCTTAAATGGACATTAACTTCCTGGCAATATTAAAAATGCCAGGAAGTTAATGTGAGGTGTCAAGAATTTTCAGTGGGTTGTCCTGAGACCAGGGTTTCCCCCCGAACAATTGTCTGGTTTATATAGAGGACTGCAGCAAAAGCCAGCTTATGAATGTGTAAAATAATGTACTAAAAACCCCTTATTTACATGTTAATCCTTTAGAAATGCCCTTGAATGTATTGATTCACCACTTCAGATGGCCCTCTTTCACATCTAACCTTTGTGATTCCTTTTTCCAGCAGTAGCCACTTTGCGATCCATATTGTCCTAGATTAAAATGTTACATTAAGTTCTGTGCTGTCATTTCTGATGGCAGATTTGTGCCCCATTTATTCTCTTGCTCAAAGACAGACTCGTGTTTGCAGAAGCAAACTGCTGAGAGAGGGTGGCATATATCACATTAGGTGGGGCAAGTGGCATCCAAGTTTGTTTTGATCATATCTCTGGATCCATGATGTGCTGCCTGTTAAAATGTCAGGAACTGTTTTAAAATAGGAAAGTATTATCTGGAATGGCATGTAATTTGATATGCATGTGTACAGTAGTCTCAGCTAAAGAGCAGAAGTGACAGTGGTGTTATCTTTTCTATCTAGTTTGTACTGTAGTAGCTTGTTCCTGGGTATCTGTTAATTTCTTTTCACCTCCCTGAGTAGATATACTAGTTTATTTTATTTTTTTAATTATTTGATTTTTACCCCGCCCCTCTAGACCATGTCTACTCGGGGTAGAATGTTTGCTGTATATTCATGAATTGAATTCCTAACTTATAAACACATTCAGAGCCTTTTACACTTGACCCCACGCCTATCCTTAGGACCACGTACACTATGTACTGTATATAACATTATAGCCTAAATACAGTACTGTGCTTCTATGCCTGAACTAGATTGCAATCCATGAAAGATCACACTAATATTTATTAGTGTCACAGTTCCTTTGAAATTAAATCATATATAACTATATATTTTGAATGGAGCTAATATGAAGTCCCCACAGCTAAGTGATTTTAACTCAGTCTACATTTATTTAGTTGAATGATATAAAAACACAAAATTAGGGTGCACTAAGCAACAATTAGAGGTATGCAAATTTGAACTAAAACTCTTAAGAGTTCCCCAGGCAGCATTGCCTGTCTCTTGTAATGATGCCCAGCAAGGATCAGTAATTTTTGAATACTATGCAATGGTAATTTTTGTTAAATGCATTTCCTTTCCCTGAAATCATGGATTTAAGACTGCTTTTGGTTTTTATGAGTAATTTTGGCATGCATACTCAGTGATTATACATTCTCGGTCTCATTTCAACATTAGGAAGTAGCTATGTTAAAGTGATAATGCACCAACAACCATGCAGATGTGGATTTTCTGATGATTTCAAAACCTGTGGGTTTTTTTTTCCTGTGAAAAACCCACAATCACAGAATGGTGGAAAGAGACGGTGACACTGGTACAATAGCCTTATAAACATAGTCCTTTCCCACCCAGCCCTCTATATGGAAGACAAAGACTGTCTCCACAACACATTATTTTGACATATCTTCTGTTCTTCCCATCCCCTATCTCACAAGACCTAGTAACAATTGAACCCAGTAAATAAGCAATTGCGAGAACAGATAATTAAAAATGCTAGCAAATTTACTTGAAAGAATTCAATAGGGAATTGCAAGTTGAAAGACTAAATCTTTACTTGGCATGTTGGAGTCACTGAATTTTCATAGCAACTATTTTACAGTAAAAATACTGAGGTGGGACCAGTACTGAACTTTGGAATCATATGTTTAAATACAAAAAACGACTTTTAACAAGAATTTTACTCCCCCTTCATGACTATCACGGTGGAGCTATTTCACTGGAGGCTACCACCTCCCTACAAAAGCAGTCACACTGGTTGGCTTTAAGATAAACAAAGGGAAAAGAGTCAACACACAGGAAATGGGGGATATACAGTTATACTGGAGGAGAGTGGAGAGAGACCTGAGAAAACAGAATCCATTCCCATGGGAAGGGCAATCAGCACCAACTCTTTTGTTATGAGCCTGCAGGCAGACTGCTCCTTTACCTATCTTGGCTTCTGCAGCCCCAAAGCCAGGCTCCAGGTTTAACAGGAAGCAGACATTTACAGCTCTAGACACATTTCTAGTTTATTATTGCCAAGATGAAAAAGCCATCTTGGCCCAACAGGCAACCAGTAAAATTTTTCCCAAAAATAACTCAGTACAAAACAGATCTTTTTCAGAATTTAAAAAAAAGAAAGAAACCTTTACATGAGTTTAAAACCTATTCCAAAACATAAAGTAAAACAAATTCCATTCTTGATATTAGTAGCCGCCGCCATACACTCTTCCCCTCCCACTGGGGAGCATGGAATGAGATGTCTGCAGTCCTTCCCATGCACACGATGCGCCAACAGCTTTAACTGGTGTCCATCTAGAAGGAAAGACAGACAATTACTTGACTGACACCAGAAGAGGAAAAAAAAAAAGACAAGAAAGCCCCATGTTTGGGGAGGGTTATTCTCGAACAGCACAGTTCATCCAGAACCATTCAATACAAATGGCACGAGAAAGCAACACCTTTAGATCATGAAAAATCAAACAATGCAAGCTTTCATAAAATAATTTTTTTTTTCAGACATACAGCAGTATCTTGCTGACAGGGCAGAAAAATTATAAATGAATGCTCCAAAAATACATGTCAGATGTTTGCGAGGTATCTGTTTAGGGCAAGTTTAAAGCTGGAAGCATTCAAGAGAAAATTGGACAATCATCTGTCAGATCTAGCTTCTGCATGAAGCAGGAGGTTGGAAATGGCTTACATGCCACCTTCCAACTCAGTTCCATGGTTACAACCAGGTTTCATGAGTATGGTTTAGTGCTTCACCCCTGGTAACATGAAACTGGACTTTTCCACCAAGCTATTCAGATAGAGGTAGCCCATCGCTCTGCATAAACCTCTTCCCCACCACCCCACATCACCTGTTTTTTGAACACAAGTTTCTTTCCTGCTTGGCTGAGGGTGGAGAAACTTGTGTTCCAAAAACAAGCAGGGGGTGACGCTCATATAGAGTGATGAGAAATTGTCTGAATAGCTTGGTGGAAAATTCCAACATGTAACCAGGGGTGGAGCATTAAACTAATTCTAAAAAGACACCTGGAAAACTTTTGCCATGGCATTTTTGGACATTCATTAGTATTTTTTCTGCATTGTCCACAAGATACTGGTGCATGCCTGAAGAAGTAATTTTTTAATTCACAAAAACTTTTGATGACATTTTTTAAAGTGGTCCAATAAGAGTGAAAATGGTTTCGCTATTATGTTTTACTAGGGAAAATATTTTGCACAATACTTTTTCATTCATCCATGTATGTTTGATGGAAACATATCCTGCTAAATCTTGTGTTTTTTGCTACATAAAATTTCTGAAAAGACATCCACAGCTCATCCACTGGAAGAGGCAGAACTAAAATTGTCACTATGAACAACAACAAAGCAAATATTTTGAATAAGACACTGATTTCCATTTAATACAAGATATTATTTCATATTCCAGCTCTCGCCATTTTAAGAAGCTTAGAATTTACTATTTTAATTTCAGGTTATGATCCGAAATTCAAAATTTTCTTGGTTAATAACTACAATTTCACAACAGCATCATGTTCTCGCTACAGAATAAGATACGTTTCTACATTAAGAGCAATATAACATCAAAACAATAACCAGAAATTACAAACTTTATGAACATGCCATGCATTCAGATAGCCACTCAATATCAAAGTAGTTACATAAGCAGAGAAAGTCCAAATGTGCATGCAAACAGAATTTGGTACTTAGGAGGTGACATAATTAGAAGGGCCGTTATTAGTAGGCTGCAGGCAGGTTCAGAGCTTAGCAAATACCAAGTTAGGCTCCGGAGAATTCCCTAATCTCTGCACATATATCGATCACATCAAATTAGGCTGTACTTCCCAATCATGACTGATGAAGAAAGCAGCAGAAAAACCTACCCTATTTGTCCCTTCACAGAATATGAATGCCAGCAAAGGACACTGCACACTACTGTATCCTCTAATTTTCAGTCCCACTGGGCAGGGCTACGCCTCTCTCCCTTGCAGCTTCACCCCCACATGCATGTGCAATGGATTCTATCACAACTGGAACCTAATGCAATCGCTGCACAGAGGAGGAAGACAACTGCATGGAGGGAAGCAGAATCCTGCGTGCACCCAGCTTAGCGGGAACCTTGCTGCATACTTGTAGAATTTGAATCCAATCAGCAAAGGAAAAGGAAAATGTAAAATACTCTGCCCAGTCCTAACTGTGAAAAAATGTCTAGACCTTGACAGCTGCTACACCAGATGTCAAATTCAATTCGTCATGAAATCTGCTAGACTTTACAATGCCGAAGGAATTACACAGCTTATATGCTTGAGACCACCTCTATGTCAATAAAGTTAGTTCCCACATTTACTGGAAAATGGGATTTGCAAACAAAATATACAACATGGGGCCCAGCATCAAAACTGATGAATATACCTCCTATGAATGTCCTATTTGCTGTGAAGTTGTACTTTCACACTCGAATGCCCAATTCTCCCAATGGACACCAATTCTTCCACCCCTTCTGCCTTCCATTACTTACCCTGGCATTATAAGCATCCAACTGTGCATCCAATTCTTCTGCAGAAAGCTGCTGTTTAGAACTCCTGCCAGCACCTCTGCCTCTGCCTCTGCTACCACGGCTGCCTCGCCTGTTGCCACCACCAAAACCTCCTGTACCACCACGGTTTCTGGTCATGCCTCCTCTGTTTATACTAAAATAGAAGGATGGATTAGAAGGATGCCAAGGTACCCAACAAAAGGAAAATACAAATTGTAACTACTGCACAAAAGCTGTAGTGAAAGACAAAGGCTAATTACAATAAAGTTTGCACTTTAAAAAATCCTATTCCAAAAGCTCATACAGATAGAGATAGAGGTACATCTATCAATCTGAGTGAAAAGTCTAAGTAGTGTATGCAGACTAGCATACATTCGTGCCCTGCTTTATGATTACCCCGCATTACGACGAATCTGCTTCACAACGACGTTTCTGCGATTGCAAAACGATGGTCTAAATAGGGTTTTTTCGCTTTGTGATGATCTGTTCCCTGCTTTGGGAACTGATTCTTCGCAAAACGATGTTTTTAACAGCTGATCAGCAGTTTCAAAATGGCCGCCGGGTAATTAAAATGGCTCCCCACTGCGTTTAGGGATGGATTCCTCACTATACAGGCACCGACAATGGCTGCCATACGGAGGATCTTCGTTGGACTGTGAGTTTTTAGCCCATTGGAACGCAGTGAACGTTTTTCAATGCGTTTCAATTGGCTTTTTATTTTCGCTTTATGATGTTTTCGCTTAACAGCGATTTTCCTGGAACGGATTATCGCCGTTAAGCGAGGCACCACTGTACTGTTAAATTTCACTAACAAACTGCAAGTAAGCGAAGTCTCCTACCTCTGTATTGGTCTCCTCTGTGTATCTATTTGTGATGTAACCAGCTGGATGTTCATGGGACGTCCTAGGAAGAAAAAAGAGACAATGTGCTTATAAATCACCAAAATTTTATTAGTCTGCAGAAAAATTCCACTAGCCTGCTTTGAAGAAGAGACAATGGCAGATGAGAGATGGGAGAACTCTATCCTTTCTTAAGCAACATACTAGCTTTCCAGGTATAAGAAAGAAGCTCTCTCCTTGCAGAATGGATAATAAACAGCTTTTTAAAAATTAAAACTATGCTTTTTAATGACGTTATGACTAAGATACATTTTTTTAAAGAAAAGGTGACAGTGATAATTTTAATATTAAATGTTCAATAAGAGCTCATTACAAAATAAAGATTGGAAATTCTAGTTCTATATTATGAGGCAATACACTCATACCAAAATCAAATCACTATTGCTTTTAAAAGAGTTTTTTAAACAGGGATGAACAGTCTTGGATTAGAACTTAAGTTTTATGGGATTTGATAGGCTTCATAAATACAGTGGTGCCTCGCGCAACGGTCGCTCCGTAGAGCGACGAATCCGCGCAACGATGCCGTTTTTGCGATCGCAAATCAGCACCTACATGGGGAAAATTCAGAGCGAAGGTCAGTAAGCGGTTCGCTTACCGACCTTCGCTTTGCAACCCACCGATCAGCTGTTCCACGGCTTCATAATGGCCACCGGAACAGCCGAAAGGGCCGGGCACAGCGTTTTCGCGCCCTTGGTAAGCAAGGGGAGGGCGCGAAAACGCTGCCGGAACAGCTGAAATGGCCGCGCGCAGCGTTTTCGCGCCCTCCCCTCACTTACCAAGGGCGCGAAAACGCCACGCCCGACCCTTCCGGCGGCCATTTTGGACCCGCCAGACAGCTGATCGCAGCGTTTTCGCGCCCTCATTCAGCGAGGGGAGGGCGCGAAAATGGCTGCCGGCCATCCCGGAACATCGCACAACAGTGAGTATTCGGCCAAATTGGAATGCATTAAACCATGTTTAATGCGTTCCAATGGCTTTTTACTTTCCGTTGAGCGATGTTTCACACAGCGAGGGTTAATCCGGAATGGATTAACCTTGCTGTGCGAGGCACCACTGTACTTAAATTAATCTTTCTATCTTCCCAGTCAGTCTAATAGCTACCATAAGAAAAATTGGTAGTCCTCAAATCTGGTTTATGCCTCTTGACATACACATGTTAACAAGAATACAGGGAAATTATCAATAGCAGACATGATCAGCCCTATTTTCCAGCTTACTGAAATTATTCCTCAAGGCGCCTTCCCTCTCCCATCAGGAAGCCCTAATAAAACTTCGGTACTCCTTTTCAATTTTCTCCTTGATCCATGTTGATTCCTTTACTGACATCTCTACCTACTGTGCAATTAATGTTCAACCTCTCTCTCTCTCTCTCTGAAAGTGCACCCTTTCAAATACTGAGAGTGTCAATGATTAGAAGCTTACTGGAGAGGGCATCAATCTGGGCAAGATAATTATAAAAAATATCAATTGTGAAAAGTATGTATTAACTTTACAGAAAGAAAAAATATGCTTTCTGGGGAAAAACATTACACTGTTAGGTTTGTTAATAGCAACTTAAATAAATTTGATTTATATCAAACCCAAACTGCTCGACTAGCAGGCCACTAGATTTCTATGCTGAGTACATGGCAGGGATACAGCATTCTATCCCTCTTCTACTAGCACTCTGGTCATGTACATGGAATCCCATGAACTTCCTCCAGATGTAAAGGCTACCAAGTTAACACATTCAGGACTGGTTTATCATCAAAACTGCACCAGACCATCTTTTATTCACTGTGTAAATGCCCACATGAACAAGAAGTACTTACCATCCAGAGGAACTCCATTGTATTGTTTCATAGCCTTCAGAGCATCTGCCTTTCTCTCAAAATGCACATCTGCGGTACCTAGACTACGTCCAGATCGGTCATAATGCACAGCTGCCTTCTTCAGTGTTCCAAACTCTGCAAAAAGCTCCTGAAAAGTGAGATAGAAAGATAAATACACAACACCTCCTAGAATTGTGTAAGAAGGCCTTGCAAAAACATTCAAGTCAGTGTAATTACTAAGCTGGCCAAGTATAAAGGGAGTCAATTTCCACTCTCACATTCTCCTTTTCACTTTAGTTAAAATTCTGATTAGGCTTGCTACATTTGTTATTTATTTACTTTGCACAGCTTAATGAGAACGACAAGTAATTATCATCCTTTAGCCAAATAAGCACTCCTAAAAAGCCAATTACCTTACATAGAACTATTTTAATCAGACTAAGGCAGACAATGCAATAGAAATTTGTAACTATCAAATCTAAGACATGACAACATTTACACATTATGTGTTCTCCAACAACAGGAACAGATGACATACTTCTCTAGTTTCTCTTCATAAAACTACTGCTGCATCATCACAACCTTCTACTCTGCAAATATATTTTGTTCAATGCTGTTTTAACAGCAAGTCAGCCTTCATGGAAAACAAAGCATCATGCAAAATATTTCTGACTTGAGCTATATCTCAACTGATATATTGACGTTTTTGTTTCTATAAAGTGTGTTCTACTCTTTTTAAGTATTGAAAGGAACCTCTCGTATATCTTCTTGCCCCAAGATTCTACGGAACTGAAAATCAATGTTTTACCTATATTTCACATAACAAATTAAATTTGAAAAATAAAGTGCTGGAGAATGTGGGAACAGAAAACACTGGAATATAAAGTATTTTATCTTTCGGACCAATCTTAGTCAAGGAAAAATTCTAGTAGACATCTTCAATTCCCATGTAATAGGGAGAAAAATAGAATGCATCAGATATTTCTACTGTGAACACTGTCAGGCTCTAAGAACCTTGCGCAAACTCAGCTTCATAAATGCTCATACATGCACAAAAGACTTACAAATGTTAATAAATCTGAAGACTAGAAAAGCTATCAAAAAGAAAAAACATTAATACTGATCATTTCATAAATGTTCATTTATGGGAAGTCTTTCTCTCTCTCTCTCAAAAAATGATGATTTAGTTACGCTCAGATAAAGTTATAAACATAAAACTTGGTGCTGCAACATCACGGAAAAACCACATGAACAAACTAAAGGCAAACAACAAGGGATGATCAGCGCCAACAGTTCACCATTCCAAATCACCTCCTACTTAGAAAAACTGGGGCAGGACGAGAATTACCTGTATATCTGCATCCGACACACCGAAATCCAGATTGGAGACGAGCAGCTTTCCGCCGGTCTCCACACCAGCTCCAGGACCAAAGCCGCTATCAAACAGATCATGTTGCCACTTTTCAGGAAGTTGCTTTGGCTACAAAGAAAATGAAATTTCAGTCCCATCATCGCCCGATGTCCCAAAAGATCACTACAGTACTCCTTAAAACACTTCCCCCTTCCACCCGAGGGGGGGGGTCTCCAGGGCACCCAGAGAGTCCCTTGGGGTGGGCGCATAATTCCTTCGCTGCCACCGCGAGGAAAATGGCGAGGGACAGAGCACAGGAACAGACTCCCAAAAAAGCCTCCACTTCGCACAAGAAAGTTTTAAAACAGATGCAGAGCAGCCAGTCCTTCTCCTCCTCCACCACCGCCACCGCCGCCGCCCTCCCCGAAGCCCACCCTTAGAAAGCCTCCGGGTTGCCCGCCTAACTAGGGACGTCCATACCCGNCCTTAGAAAGCCTCCTGGTTGCCCGCCTAACGTATGGACGTCCATACCCGGCTGTAAGGCGCGGGCCTGTTCCTGCCGCCTCCTCGGGACAAGGCGGCTCTGTTCCGGACGGGGCCGCCGCCGCCGCCTGCCCGCCCAGCTCCGCCTCGCCCAGCTCCGCCGCCACGACCTGCCGCTCCCCGTCCCCGTCCTCGGCCACCACCAGCCCGGCCGCCTCCGCCGCGCTGACTTCGGTTCAGTTTAATGATATCGTCCAAAGACATATCCATTTTATCCCCCATGATGGCGGCTCCCTGCGGCTCCTGGGGCCTACACTTCCGGCCGCGCAACCCCGGGGGCCGGAAACGGATAAGGCGGGGAGAGGGGAAAAAAAACCCCTGGATATTAGAAAAGAAGAAGAAGAAGGAGAAGAAGTGGGGGTGCAGGCGCAGACCGGTTCGGTGCCTGAGAAAAAGAAAGGAAGGTCGCTCTAGGGGGCGAGGTTTTATGCGCGCAAAGACGCGTGGGCCGGCATTCCGGGGGCGGGACTTCCGGTCCTTGAGGAGGGCGTTAGTTTGGGCGCGAAGGTTGGAGCTGCGACGGATAGAAGGAAGGGGGGCGGGCCGTCAAGGAAGCGAGTGGTCCGATAGGTGGGCGGAGCTTGTTTTTCCCCTTCTTTGTGGAGGGTTTCTGTGACCCGAGAGGTGGGTAAGGAGGCTGTTCGGTTGCTGCGCAGGGTTTGCCGCCTTGGATGGTTGCGGGTCGCCCATGTTTCCCCCCGTCCTGCTCCCTGAAATGGTTCTCTTGTTATCTTTCCCAGTGGCCTTTTAGAGCCGCTTCTCTTAGTTTCCTTTTCCTCTTTCGACTCAAACCGTTTTCTCTTGGGGGAGTTCAACCCTTTTAGTTCTGACGTTCCTTCTGAGGAGGCCATTTCACGTCCTCATCACTCCCTTCTCTCTCTTCCGCCCCTTCCCCCCCGCCGCGACTTCCACCCCCTGTCTTTCCTGCTGTAAAAAAATTAAAACGTAAAAGGAGGGTCGTGCTCCTGTTTCTCCTGCTAGGGCTATTTTATAAAGTGTCCAAAATGCGCCCAAGTGTCAGGGTTCCGGGTAGTCTTCCAAAATAGTGAGTGATATTGCCAGAACTTTTCCTTTAGGTTGGATGTTTGAAGAAGGGAAAAACCATGGTGATGATGGAAAGCGTTTGGAGGCTTGGTCTGCGGTTATAAAAATGATGGTGGGCGGTGGATTGTCTTTATATAAACAAAACTGGATTGATGAAAAACACTCCTGGGTTTTTCTTCGCCTATAAAGGATCTGGGTGTTCTAAGGAGTGTTAAAAGATTAACTGTACAATCCTATTTGTTTGCCTTTATCTGTTGAGCTCAGTAAAGTTTAAGCCCATGAACTAATGCAACCTAATATTTTTTTTAATAAGACCATTTAGCAAATAGTACGGTTTGAGTACTAAGTACTGTTGTACAATGGCATAATTAATAATCCAACTGTGAACTGTCACCCCTTCAGCTGGACACGACTAAACAACAACGTACTGTCAAGTTAATTCTCACCTATAGTGAGCCTTACAGAATTTTCTGGGTATAAAGTAGAAGTGGTTTACAGTTTCTTTCTTCTGATTTTCCTCTGGGGCCATGCAGCTTGCCCAGGGCTACAGAGATGGCAGGGCATTTAATCCCATCAGGCACATATACTCTGAGTTACTTCGGATATCCTCTCTGTGGAGGCTTGTTGGGGAAGCAGACTTTGCTAGCCAAACTTCCTATATCACTGCTTGCTCATCTTGGAAGGAGCTGTGCCTCATAGTGTAAGGGTAACTAAATGAGTTAATACTTTTAGGAACTTCAGGATATATGGTGATAGTTTAAAAAACACTATTAAAGACACCCCTCTCTGTCCCAAGGCTCCCAAAGTCTTCCTTAGGACAAAAGGAGCCCTAAGAAGACTTGGTCCCTGAAATGGAGGAAATAAGAAGCTTGTGACAAAGTGTACAGTTCTGGAACTCAGTGAGCTGGAGCATTTGACTGCAAAGCCAGGGTTTGGAAGCTCAATTCCCCACTGTGCCTTATAGGAGAAGAGCAAGCCTTTGTGCTCTTAAGTCAGCTACGTGATCCCAGAGCACCCCGGAAAAAGGAAATGGTAAATGATTTCTGAGTAGAGATGGGCACGGACCAAAAAATGAACCAGAATGTTTGTAAAAATTGCTTGTTTGAGTTAGTTCAGTGGTTTGGTTTTTCACATTTTCTTCCTCCTCAGCCCTAAAATCTGCCCCTCCTTCCTCCCAACCCCTACCTGGTCCTGTTGCCGCCGCCTCCATCATCGCCAAGTCGTGGCAGTGCTGCCTTTACTTCTGAGTACTCTTTACCTAGAAAGTCTGGGGAGCATTGCCATAAGCTGGAATCAACTTGACAGCATGTCATTATTACAATATTTATGACTTTGGTAATTCTGAGGAACACAGACATTTGTACAGTATTTAGAAGATATCTAGAAACAGAAATTTTTTCATTCATGTTCTCATTTATTCACCACTCAGGTGTTATTCCAAGTTTGGTGTTTAACTAGACACAATGAAAGTGAAAATCAAGAGCTGGCATGGAGTTGCCTCATGGCTCTGGGTTGCCAATGATGAAAATTGTGGCATATGCCGAATGGCCTTTAATGGTTGCTGCCCAGATTGTAAGTACAGTATTCGATTTATCTCTCACTGTTAAGTTGTGTATACTGTTGTCTTCTGAACTTGCCCTAACGAGTCCTATGTTTTGCAGGTAAAGTGCCTGGTGACGACTGTCCTCTGGTTTGGGGTCAGTGTTCACACTGCTTCCACATGCACTGTATTCTCAAGTGGCTTAACTCTCAGCAGGTCCAGCAACACTGCCCAATGTGTCGACAGGAATGGAAGTTCAAGGAGTGACAAATGCAATGTTTCTCCCTCTCCCCCTTTTGGATTTCATGTACTGCTTGTGAGGTTTGTTAAAACCTTGTGAGGTGTTGGCTTTTACAATATTAAGTATATAATATATTTATCATCTCCGGAGCTGGCAGAGCAAGGCTGAAGCAAGGAAAGCAAGTGGGATTACTGTTAATGTATAATTTCTGTTTATGTACAGTTCTGCCTCCTTATGTTATATCTCACTAGTTGTGAATTCAGGATAAGTAAAATGTAGGAAGGTTACACCTGTGTTGATGAGAAAGCTCAATATTGATTAGAAAAACATAAATACTGCTTTTGATAGGTTGGAACATGTAGACCTCATAACGCTTAGGATTCTGTCTTGGCATATACCTGATTCCTGGGAGGCATGTGTTTTACCTGCATTAGAGGTTAAGAGAGAGACATTTTAAAAATATTGTTCGTGTTCAACATCTGCTCTCAGCTATTTGAGGCATATTGTAGCTACATTTTTCTGTCTCTCTTGTGATATGTGTTGCTCTTATTTTACTGCTTGTAAGATTGACTGTCACTGTGTAGCTCAGACAACATAGAACCTTTAGCTTACCTTCTTGTTCTTACTTGATCCAGTAGTGTAATCCCACTAATCAGCAGTGGAATTCAGGTTTTAGTATAAACCTCGGAATTGTAAACATTGTTCTGGAAATTACATGTGCCTGTATCTTGCTGAATACTTGGCCTCCAATCCAATAATATGTTTGTTCTCAAAAGTCTATAATAAATTGCTTTTGTTGCCAAAAACTTGCCCACAGTATACATGATGCCACATGTACATGAGGTGGTTCCAGTAGCTGATGTGAGTCACCCCTTCTGATTATTATTATTTGGCCTATTTCCATTTGAATAGGGATTCTTCCAGGCTCATCACAGGAGTACATGTTTTGTATCTGTGGCCAGAGCTGTCTGTAGCTGCATGATGAGGTGATGGGATATGGCCAGCGGGGAAGGAAGGAATGTTCCTGACAATTTAAAAACCATACCCTATAATTATTTTAATGGAAAAGAAGGTTCCTACGCTAGTTCAGCTATGTAGCCACCCAGCCTAAAGACCAGCTGTTTTTGATGCTGCATCCTGGCTGTTGGGTGCCCAGTCCTTTCTCTGGTGTATGCCACCTCCGCCTGTGATGTGTAATCAGTGCCCCTTTATGCACCCAAAAGAGATGGTGGTTCCAGTCTGTGACCTTTCTAACACAGAGAACACAAGGCAAACTAAATTACAATTTTAACTGCTAGAAGAGTTCTCCGGCAAGAGTAAAAGGTCACCAGAGTATGTCAGAGCTTCTAAGGGAAGAGTCTTCTGCAATAAAACATGATGTCAGACTCTTTAACAGTTAAGGTACAACACTGCAATTGATTTTAGTTGAAGTATGGCCCACCTCAGTTTTACCAGGCCTCTCATGGTCTACCTGTAACTTTTACTAAACTAGGGTTATATGGGACTCCTGCATCCTTGGGTCTTCCATTCTGACAAATAGCCAGCCATTGAGCAATTATGTTGAAAAATATAACAGGCAGCAACAGTAGCACATTTGAAGGGGGATGTTTTCCTCTCCACTGTGTAAGTGAGTAGCCTAGTTCCACCTACTACAGAGCCACTGCAGAATTACCATCCATAGTAGAGGCTCACAGGGAGTCATGCATGAGTGTAAGTACGATGGGCACCTTTTAGATTGGGTTCATCACTTAGATCTGTGGTTGCCAGCCTTGAGTAACCCAGGAATTCTAGGACTGCATTTTTCAGAAGCCTTCACCACCAGCTGTGCTGAGGGAGCTGCAGTCTAAAAACACTTGGGTTACACAAGGTTAGGAACCATTAACTAAGGTATAGTCATAGAAATAATCAGTGCAGTTCTTATTGCTCTGTAACTTACAACTGTACCTGTCAGCCCCTGATCTGCTGAGGTTGCCCGTTTTTGCTTTATAATGACAGTGTGTGGGAAAGCACTTCCCTACCACCATGTTGGGACCGAAGAACCACATGATTTTTCTAAAAACATTTAAGAACACAGCGGTTCATAATATTAAAACTGTCAAACATTTGTGTTAATACACTCACTAGTTAAAATGATTTCAGAGCACATGAGGGAAAAGAACAGCAGTCCCCATTAAATGTTTCTTCCTTAACAGCCAAATTAGTTGTCCAGAACTTAATCACGAAAAATGTATTTGTCTGCATTTATGGATAGAGGTACAGAATTGTGGAAATTGCTTCACTTTGGAAGGGAATTCTATAACCTGGGAATGTAATTTTAGAAGAGGTAGCTGTGTTTGTGCTAGCATATCAGGGGAAAAATAAAGACAAACGTGTTGTGATACCTTAATGACTAATGGCTATGTTTAATGTGAGCTTTTATGGACAAGACCACTTCCTCAGATATAAGAGTGGTACTAAATGGCAAATATTTATACTTCTCCCAAAGACGAAGGGACTGTTTGTTTCCTAGGCAAAAGGTTTTTTTGCTGCAAGTTTTTATTGATTTTCCATAGGAATACAGGAGGTATAGATAGGGGGGCAGGGTAAAAACAGGAGGGAAAAATTCTTACACCCGCTTATACAATTATATTAGAAAGGGAAAGCATACAAAGAGAAAACAATATAGCAATTTTCCAGAATATCTATACATATTCTGGAAAAAAAGGTCTACTTCCTTGGACCTTTCTTTTTTTTAATCTTACAGTTTCCTGATTTTGTAAGTTTAATATTATTCTGCTAATTTTCTGTCCACTGCTGCACATAAATATTATAACGGTTATTTTGTGCCCATTTTACCATATAATCTTTCACTACAAATTACCCTCTTACATTTTGCATTACCATCATTTGTTAGAAATATTTTCATACTTGTTAGACAATTGTATTTGGAGTCAACTGTATTTGGAGTCATATACCATCCATAGAACATCTTATCTATATTATAACATCTCTCCAGCCTTATCTCCACATTTCTAAATCGATACAGTAGTATTGTACCTCAGTTTACAAATTTAATGTGTACTCTGGGATGGTTTGTATTGCGAAAAATCCATAAACTGAAATGCGGTTTCCCATAGAAACGCATTGAAAACCAATTAATCCATTGCGGAGGTCAGAAAAAAGTTTTAGAAAGGTATTTTATCTGTTCAAAACTCTTTCTAAAGTGCACTTTGGAGGTATAAGTACTGTACAGGGACATAATTAATCAAGCAATAACATCTCAAACATCCAACTTTTAACTTTTAAAACATCACACATCAACTTTTAAAACATGGCAAACTTTTCAAACATGGTACAGTACACTTCAACTCTACATAAATCGCACTTCAACAGGGAAAACATGGCAAACTTCAACTGTTCAACACTTCAATCAAAACAGTTTCAACACTTTTTGGAAGAGGGGGAAGAGGACAACTGGGCAGCACTAACACAAGCAGGTTCTTCATGTCTAGGCTGTTTTAGTAGGAACCTTTCCATTGTGTGCTGCCTCTGGTGCCTTGTAAGCATCCCTCGGAAAGGGTACATAATGTCGGTGTCAAAACTATTCACAAGTCTCTGGGCTAGAGCCTTATCTGTGTGGTGCTGCTGTGCAAAAGCCTGTAGGTTTACCCACATTTGGCATGCCTCCTTCAGTTCCCTGGAAGAGAGCTGTTCCTCACTTGTTTCCTCCTCCTCAAATGAGATCTGCTCCTCCATCACCTCCTGCAGTTCCACCAGGTCCTCAGTGGTTACCTCACAGTTATGTCCATCCAGCAGCTTGCAGACGTCCTCAGTCACCTCCAGCCCCATGGTCCTCTAATCTCCAACACCGTTGATGCAGAAGCATCGGAGTCAGGTGTCACAACACAGTCTGGCCACAGGTTGCACCAAGCAGAATTTAAGTTTCTCTGGCTGACCCTGGCCAAGGCAATGGTGATAATCTCCAGACAGCTCACTATGTCAAAATGGTGTCTCCAAAATTCATGTAAGGTGAGGCTTGATCAATCTGTCATCTTAAAACATCGCCGAAAAAGCTCCCTTGTTGTTTAAAATTGGAGATGACCTGCTGGTCCATCGGCTGGAGTAGTGGGGTAGTGTTAGGCGGAAGGAACACAACCATGATGAAGTTAAAGTCCTCCAGCAAATCAAAAACCAGATTGACCCACTGCACAAACAAGAGGTGTGTGACCCAAGCCTTTGAGTTGGACCGTCACAAAATGCTCAACTGCTCCTCCTTCACCTTGTGTTTCTTGAAGGCCTGTGGGTTCTCTGAGTGGTAGACAAGCAGGGTCTTGATCTTAAGGTCCCAACTGGCTTTGGCGCAGAACAGGAGGGTGAGACGGGCCTTCATCAGCTTGTGGCCAGATAGTGAGGTCTACCGTGATGAAGGTATGCTTTGACATCCTCTTCCAGAAGTCTCATCGCAGTTGAAGACCTGCTGAGGAAAGTAGCCCTCTGAAACCATGACCTCCAGGAACTCCGTAGCAAATTCCTCAGCTGCAGCAACATTGGAACTCGTGGCTTCTCAATGCCTGACCACGCAGTGGATGCCAGATCTGGTCTTGAACCTTTTGAACCACCTCCTGCTTGCCTTGAAGCCATCTGCATTGGCTGACGTTCCTGGCTGTTGGTCGAGGAGGTCATTGTACAAGGACTTGGCTTTTTCACAGATGATCACCTCAGTCACTGTGTCCCCTGCATGCTGCTTCTCTTCAATCCAGAGCAGGAGCAACTTTTCAACCTCCAGAACAGGTGGCCATTGCTTGGAGACCCTGGTGACTCCCTTGGCTGCATCTCTCCCAGTTATCTTCTCTTTAATCTTTAGGATGGTAGCAATTGTGGATGCACTCTGTAGTGACCACCCCTGACATGAATATTCAGTAGTGTGTTTGCATGTACCAATGAGAGCTGTCAGGAGGCGGATCCAGAGAAACTAGAAGGTAATGGTGAGTCAGAATCTACTGTAGGGTGTTCAGTCAGAGAGAGAAGAAAGAGTTTCGGGTTTGAGGCAGAGAGAGTGTTTAAGGAGTGATTAGACAAAGTGTGGCCTGTATTAATTAAGACAGAGGAGGTTAAAGTAAAATACTGAAGCTTTGTGTAGCTTTAAGAATATGCTTAAGAACTACTCCTAAAACAACTTGTAATCAATAAACCTGTTTCTGTTTAAAAGTTCAGTACTGAATGGACCTCAGTCTTTCATAGGAAATATAGGTTGATAAAGAGATCAACTGGTGGCAGTGTGTTAAAGCAGTGGTTCTTAACCTTTGTTACTCAGATGCTTTTGAACTGCAACTCCCAGAAACCCCAGTCAGCACAGCAGGTGGTGAAGGCTTCTGGGAGTTGCAGTCCAAAACGCCTGAGTAACCCAAGGTTAAGAACCAGTGTGTTAAAGGGTGTGTTGGGATACCTTCGTGAGCTTTGGGTTTGGTGAAACAAGCAGGGGCCACGGGGTAAATGCCACACACTCCTTTCATACTCTTTGGCGAAGTCAGTCAATCGCATTCCTCCTTCATGCTGTCTGATTATTTCTTTCTTGACCTTGAGCAGAATCATCTCCTTCCCAGCTTCCTCTGCTTTCTTGAGTGCCATGACATCACAGTCACTAAGTGAGCAGAAAATAAAAAAAGAGGTTTTACACCCACACCCAGGCTCTCAATGTTCCAGTCCAATAGCACAAAGTCTATCCACACAAGCTAATGAAAACCCCCAAAATCTGTCCACATGAGCTGGCATGGAAATCACCCCACAATACAAAACACACAGTAAAAGGCATGCACAGAACATGAGCTGGCATGGAAACCAACCCACAATGCAGAACAGACAGTAAAAGGCATGCAAACAACAAAGCTAACCTTTCCACTGCTTGAGAAATGCACCAAAAAAAGTTCCAAAAACTCCCAAAACTGCTCCAAAAAATTTCCAGAATGGCTCCAAACTCGATGCAAAAACTGCTCCAACACCTCCACACTTGACACCACATGCTACCCACAGACTCCAGCATGCACAGGGGCGGTGCTATAAACTTCCCAGGTGCAATGCATCTTGGGGAAACTTGCTTTGTATTGCGAAAAAAATTGTAAACTGAGGCATTATTTTCAATGGATTTTTGTTTTTAAACCGAAAATTTCATTAACCAAGGTGTTCACAAACTGAGGTACCACTTTATAATAACCAATATTTTGTGCCCATTTTATCTTGTAATCTTTCATTCCATCTTCCATTTTATCGACCATTTATATTTAATTAAATCTGCTCCCAAAAACTTCATCAACTCCACATACTGTCTCCTCCTTTGCGTCATCTGCTATGGCATATGTCCCATCATCTCCATTCCCCTCCCTTCCATAATAAAGTCCACAGTTTGTTGCACTTCTGCTGACATCTCCATAAGAGAGGTTAACAAATTAGCTGTCAGTTGCACTGTATCTTCACCTTTTTCTTCTGAAGACTTCTGGGATCTAGAAAATTGTCTCCCTCTCCTCTCTTTGTAGTTTTAGCAAGTTAATTTCTTCTTGTTTTCTATCCTTTTGTAGTTCTTCCAGCTTTGCCTTGGGACCCTCCATTTTTTTCTCCATCTTCACTGCAGATTTCATTTGCATCCATAAATCAGATAGCTGCTCCATCCCTCCTTTTATCTGTTGTAGTCCAATAAATAACATATCTTGAATATTCTTTTGCCAGTCCTTGAGGGTCTCTGTTCTTATTATTGGGTTTAGACTCATGATTCAAGCAGCTACTATCTTTCTGCAGGTATTATCTGGGTCTCTTTCCAGCAGGTGGTAAACATAATGGATGCTTACAAGGGCAGCTTGTGCCTTGAGGCAAATAACATTTACAATTCAATTTTTCTCTCCAGTTTTCATGATTAGCAATGGTTGGCAGGGGGAAAGAGGCTTTTTCTCCTTTTAAAATATTTTCTTTTGTTTAATATCTTTCCCTTTTCTTAAGCCCCTCGACCTAAGACTGTTTCTGGCTGCTTCACAAATTTAAATCCATCAACTTTAGAATTCAGTAGCCTATGGTTATATGGTATTGTCCTGCCGGAGTGAGTCTTATTACAGCAATACAAAGTCATTTTCTTCCCCCCTTTCTTTTCTTCTTTCTCTTTCTTCTGATCATGCTTCATTGAGGATCATGGACGGAGGGGAGGTGCTTGCCCATCTTGCCAAATATAAATCCAGTCACTTTCTCTGATCGATTACATCCATTCTCTTCATTATTTTGACCCTTAAGAGTTCCATATGTAAAACAAACATATTAACTTACCGTATTTGCCGGCATAGAAGACGACTGGGTGTATAAGATGACCCCACCCCCAATATTTCCACTCGAAATATAGAGTGGGCGAGGAGCGGAAGTGGCT